TGCACGAACATTCAAAAGTCTTTTTTAGGGGCGAGGAGTACGTGTTAATAATAAAAAGTTAATTATTTGGTTTGCTTGTCAAAGAGTGTTCTTTTACTTGCCGAACATTGTGTTAAATATCTACATAATCTGACTCGGCCACGAAAGCCTAATAAATCAGGCGAATCTACCAGGTGTTTAGTAATCAAAAAAAGAAACGACCACAGCAGTTACTGGTGCTCCAAACATAACACGTCATTTGACGTAAGTCTCTCCCAATACGTTAAAACTAGTACAGGAAGCACATACGGTGACAGCACCAAAAACACACGCCTCTTAAATCGAACAAAAGTCTACAATTCCGGCACCCGCGTTAAAATTGAAGGCGCAGTAGAATTGTACAGCATCTCCATAAGTGCACCCCCTCTATATTCTACACGTGCAAGAGACTTTGAGTCCCAGATATTCACATCGCCTGCCTCTATAAGCGCACACACATGAAATTTCGTCGCTTTTACTTCATTTCTCAATGTAAGTAGACCCGTCAAAACAAAAACGACCTAATAACGCAGATAACCCAGTGCGTACAAGTTAACTGAATATTGATCATGTAATAATTAGGTGTCAATATTCAATGAGTAGCTACTATTCACAGTGCCTCGGCGCACAAAATTTCTTTTGGAAACGAACCGACTATCAAGACGACATTTGCAATACAGTCGTGTAATACATAGCTTCAAGTCTCACTATTGAAAGCTGTTCGTGCGCCATATTGTTGCAATTACTTGCAGCAACAGCGATAATTTCGAGGACTATAATGCAGAACATACAATTCACCATGCATGTAATGATGTCAGTAAAAATGCCATTAAAAATTGTTGGCGGAACATCTGAGGGAGCAAACATTAATTCAGGGCTAATTGATAGATTAAACTTGCCTAATCCTTAACGTTAGACATTTATTTACGGTATGTCATTGCAGAGGATGCGAGCAGACTATAGAAGAAATTCTTGGTTGCAAACCGACACAGAAGAAAAATTAAAAGTTTCCGTTAGTGAATGTCAATGTTTGTCGAGCAACAAGACAGTATCAGAAGATTTGACAGCCGTCGGGCGTCTAACCAATCATATCGTTGATTCAATCTATACGTTAATTCTCGAATGCAAGCGTGTCGCTATACCAAAAATGGCTCGACCAAGAATTTTCAGCCAGAGGATCATGTGTCATTAAAACTTGTAAGAGTTCTCAATCTTAAAAGTAAATTCGTTACCAATGCCCTCAAGCTCCACACAACATCCGCCCTCACCTTCTCATCCAACGCAAGATCCCTTCACATCTCCAGGTGGTGGTGCCTCACCAGGTTGTAATCTTGGTCGGATAGTGACGGTTCCCCTTGCCGCTTTAGGTGGCTTTACAATTGAGATTGGAAAGAAGGTTGGAAAAGTCTTTGATATTAGAAAAAAGAGAAGAGGATAGAGACAAAAGTATTCTATTCTGTTGACATGTGGGATGACATCCAAAGACGCACTGTTGGAGAAATGACTTGTTATACCGAAGTCGGCGGAGGGGGCATCTATAATTCATTATTTTTATCATAACGAAGAATTTGGTAAAACGAACATCCCCTCTTATAACAAAGCATCAATGTTTTTGTAATGATGTTTAGTTCAAATAGCCAAATAAACAACAATATACAGGAAGAAGAATAAGTCGAACGAATAAGTAAAAAACGAATATATTCTAGTTTGTAACTTCAACTTTCACGAAAGAATTTGAGCCCAGTGTGTCTATCTCTACACTATCTTGTTGAATACTATTTCAAACGCATGTTTAGTCCAGTCCATTATATCATTAGTTGTGACTTTTTCATATTCCGTGGCACCTAATCGAGGACTGGTGAATCTGCCAATTGAATCTGAACGGCTTCTTATTGAGATATAGCATACAACTGTGTGAGTGGTTCGTTGACAGTATTCCATGCATGCCTTATCCATATAGTCTGTTGTTTTTTGATATCAGAAGGTCTTGATGTTGTAGTCATCGAAATCTTTTCAAATAACCGTTTTCGATAAGCCAGTATATTATTACGGATTATTCCTGAATCTAATACTAATAGATTTTACGTATGCAGGTTGAATTGTCCCATTCACCATATCAGTAACTTATGGGCTGGCGCGTTGTCAACTGACGATAATATGTTTCTGTTGGCAATACATCTTTGGTGCTTACGAATGAATAGGCGAATTAATCTTCCAGTCTTCGTGGCATTACATGTTAACAAGATGATGACTCTATCATCGCTTATTTTGATCCAGACATGATCCGGTTGACAGTCAGCGCTCGTCACAATAAAAAAAATCGTAGGTTGATACCGTTCAATCATATGGCTTTTGACGTAACTCTTGTTTCTGGATTTGTTCATTGGTTACGTTTCTTAAATGCGTTGATGGAATATCTTTAAACCTGTAAGCCCACTAGAGGCAGCTTTAAAGTCAGTTATTTCTAATAATAGTTCGGCATATTTTGTTTAATCGGAAAACCTAGTTATATTGCATTCAAGCTCGACGCTTCTTCAATACGTACAATGTATTTTATATGAGCTTGAATCGATTTGAATTTCTAAGTCTTGCTAATAAAGCTGTTCATGCAAAAACCAGCTCGAATTTTATTCAAATGGAAAAATAATGCAATTTATTTTTTCCATTTGAGAAGATCTTTCCTGCAAAATATAAGTATACGGGATAACCTCGTTTCTGAGAGCTTTCTTCTTTGTACCGATTATACTAATCATTCAAGAACTCGGTAGGTCGACTTTCTGCAACTAGTTTGTCGTTGAGAGAGTACTCTTGTCACAAAACCGTTTTCATCCGAGCATAGGGACGCGAAAAATTGCAATATTTATTTACTACGCTCCGCTTTTCACGTAACTTACCCTCTTAAAGTTATCAGCAGGTTTGCTGATGTGACCGTTTAACGACATAGTAACTTTAATTTGATAGTAGGTTTGCTTTCTAAACTAGTCGTTGTCCAGGAAAAACTCGTTTGCTGACGTGGCTGTTTTACATGCAAAATTATCAAATTTTAGATTTAATTTAACTAATTTGTCTCAAAGTTTTCTCATTAATGTGCCTCGTCTGTTTATTACCATATAAATGCAACTGTAGTGGGTGAAATTGAATGCATTGAAAACTAGAGAAAAATGGTTTGTTCCTTTTCTATTTAAGAGTTACTTAGACCGGTTAAAAAATACACGTAACAGCACACCAACCGACGAGAAATTAGTAAGTATGCCGATGGCGTTTAAAAGAAGTCAAATTGTATAGCTTGCTACATCAATATTTTTATAGATGTTCTATCTTGTGATATTGTTGTACGAGCGGTGTTGTTGTAGTTGTTATTAGGTATAGTCGTATTATTGAGAACGTTGCTGGGATTTCATCGATAATCGTTCGTACAACTGATTAAGCTCTCGACGCTGTAAACT